AGCCTTCCCCTGGAGCTGGCACCCTGAATTCGGACTTCTAGCCTCCTGGACTGAGAGAGAATAAATTTCTCTTTGTTAAAGCCATCCACTTGTGGTAAGACATCAAGGTACAGAACTTTTCCATAATGCCCTTTGAAGTCAACCCTCCCACTGCAGACAACCATTCATCTGTTTTCTGTCACTGTAGATTAGTTTTGCCTACTTCAGGATTTCATACAGTACATGCTTTTTTTCATTAGCATAAAATCTTTGAAATCCATCCACATTGCACGTATCAGAAATTCACTGCTTTTTATTCCTGAATATATTCTATTGTGTAATGTACCACAGTTTGTTTCCTGTTGATGGACCTTTGGGTTGTTTCCAGTTTTTAGCTAATACAGATAATGCCATGGACATTCATGCACATGTCTTTGTATGGACATGTGTTTTCATTTCTCTTGAGTAAATACCAAAGAATGTTTTGGGCCACATGTTTATAAGAAACTGCCAAACTGTTTTCCAAAGTGGTTGTACCATTTTATACTCCCCCCTAAAAGTGTGAGAGTTTCAGTTATTCCACATCCTCAGAACACTTGGAATTGTCAGTGGTTTGTAGTGGAATCTCATTGTGGTTTAAATTTACATTTACCTGATGACTAATGATGTTGAGCGTCTTTCCATCCATGTACCTTTAAAAAAATTATTTTATTGTTGTTGTTGAGAATATACACAGTAAAATAAACACCAATTCAACAGCTTCTACATATACAATTCAGTGACAATTGATTCTTTGAGTTGTGCAACGCTCCTCACCCTCCTTTTCTGAGTTGTTCCTCCCCCATTAACATAAACTCACTGCCCCCTAAGTTCCTATCTGACCTTTCAAGTTGGTGTTGTCAGTTTGATCCATATAGATAAAGAGCACAATGCTCAAGGCAGACATTCTTGTACTAGTTAAGCTAAACTATCATTTGGTTTTAAGAAGATGTCAGGGGATATTTTTGGTTTAAGTTTTAAAGATTATCTCAGGATAATAGTTTCAGGGCTTCATCCAGCGTCTATGGCTCCAGAAAGTCTGCATGCATGGTTTTTTTTTTGCCTATTTTTTATTTTATTTTATTGTTGTACTTTAAGTGAAAGTTTACAATTCAAGTTAGTCTCTCATACAAAAATTTATACATACGTTGTTATGTGACCCTAATTGCTCT